GGTTGTACTGGATGCAAAGGATCAGGGAGAGTAAAGGTAAGCCTCGGAGCCCTAGAAAGAGGCTGTCAGCCCCAGAAAGAGGCTGGCGGGTGTTGCAGGACCAGGGAAGTAGAGGGAGATGAGGGCAGGGCCAGGACCAGAAGCGGTGCTCCTGGAGCCCAAGAAAGGGACTGAGTTTCTCTGGGTGAGAAGGATCAGGAAGCAGTATTGGTTCCCCAGGTGTCTGGGGCCCCAAGACTAGGAATGGTGCAGGGCCCAAACTAGGAATATAGAACGGCGGGAGGGATGGAAGGGTGAATGTGGGTTAGGGAGTCCCGGCGCGGAGAGCTGCGCTATAGACTTACCCCAAGAGGCCTGAGGATAGTAGTGCAGGCTAGGAGAGTTAGCAGGTGGTGCAGGCCGAGGGAAGCAGAGAGAGGTGAGGGCGGGGCCAGGACCAGAAGTGGTGCTCCTGGAGCCCAGGAAAGGGACTGAGTTGCTCTGGGTGAGAAGGATCAGGAAGCAGTATTGGTTCCCCAAGTGTCTGGAGCCCCAAGACTAGGAATGGCACAGGGCCCAAACTAGGAGTATAGAACGGTGGGAGGGATGGAAGGGTGAATGTCTATTTATTTTATTTTTAAGACAGGGTCTCCCATAGCCCCAGCTAGCCTGGAACTCACTATGTAGACCATGCTGGCCCCAATCTCACAGAGATCTGCCTGCTTCTGCCTTCTGAGTGCTGGGATTAAAGGCATGTACCACCATGCCTGGCATTTATTCATTTATTTTTGTCTTTTTGAGAAAGTGTTACGTAGCTCAGGTTGACCTCGATCTGGCAATGTATCTAATGATGACCTATCTAATGACTCCCGATCCTCTTGTCTCCACCTCCCAAGTGCTGGAATTATAGGCACAGGCACCTTGGCTGGGAACTACAATAAATTATGATAAGTAATTCTAAGACAGGTATAATCCCAGCTACTCAGCAGTCAAAGACAGGAGGATTGTACATTCAAGGCCAACTTCAGCAATGTAGTGCAACCCAGACTCAACATTTAATAAAAAGAAAGGAGCAAGGAGTGTGATAGAGAGCTGTCTAGACTCTAGGCCCAGTTTCCAACATATAAATTATTATAAATTCTGATCCCATATCCACCAACTAAGATTATAATCTTAATCCACACTGAAAGCTTGACTCATTTAAAGGCAGGCTCATTACCTGAAGGAAACACATAGCAACATTTTGTACCAGTGAATTAATAATAATAGCATCAGTTGGTAAGGACAAGAAGGAGGCTGAGACAGGGGCAGGGATGGGTTGAACAGATGGATGGCAGCTGTGGCTCAGCAGAAGCTCTTCTGGGCTCCACCATCTTCATTTAATTCATATCTTCATAAGATGAGTTTTAAGGCATTCATTCCACACCTGACCAGCAATTTCCCAGGCTGGAAAAATGTATTTTTATTTGTACCATCAGCATGGACATAGTCCATTTGAAACTAGATTGTTAATTAGTATTAAGAAACAGAACTAGGAAGTGAATGGATAAGGGCACACTGAAAAATATGCAAATACAGTTAGAATTTATACCATCAAGAGCCACTGAAGGTGCTCAGAGCATAGGAACCTGAGGTCATTAGAACCCAGTGTCTTGGTTGTAAACATATTTATTAAAAATCACTGAACAACATTGAATTAACTTCTTGTGACCTCCCCCATCTCAGGAGATTATTGGATATTTGGGCATGCTTATTCCCAGGACTGCATTTGTCCCCTCATTATTATGAATGACAGGTCTTCTCTAGAAACTAGTATTGGAAGTGACATTTTCCTCATTAAGTTGAAGATACTTTTTTTCCTCCCTTATAGTCGCCTGTATTGGACAGAAGCTTCTAATCTGGGCCATCAAATGTTCTACTGCAGTATTACCAATAATACCTTGCACCGTGTTCTGCAACCCAAGGCTTCAAACCAACATGGAAAAAGCCAATGTTCTTGTAATGTGACTGAATCTGAGTTAAGTGGGGCAATGACTGTTGATACCTCTGGCCCAGAGAGATCATGGATATACTTTACCAAAGGTCAAGAGATCTGGACCATGGATCTGGAAGGATGCCAGTGTTGGAAAGTTATCATGATGCCTGCCACCCTTGGTAATGTGCTGATATGTACATGTATTATTATTTTTATTTTGACAGAGTTTCATGTAACTCAGGCTGGACACAAACTCACTTTGTAGGATGACCTTGGACTTAATCCAAAAGGATGATCTTGAACTTCTGATCCTTCCACTTCTACCTCCCAGGTGTTGGGATTATAGTTATGCATCACCAGTCCTAGTTCTATGCAGTGATGAAGTGCATTGTATATGCTAAGCAAGCTCAGCTTAGCTATATCCCTAGTGCATATAGCTTCATTTGTGACAGCAGCCCCTCTTGCTCCATTAAAAAGGGCATGCAGGGGATGGGGACATGGTTCAGTCAGTAAAGTGCATGTTGTATAAGTATAGGGCTTGAGTTTGAATCACTAACACCCACATAAAAAGCTAGTGGTAATGCACCAGTTTTGGGGAAGTGAGACAGGAGGATCCCCGAGGCTTGCTGGTCCCCCAGTTCAACCAAATCAATAAGCTCCAGGTTCAGTGAGACCCTGTCTCAAAGAATGGAGATTGGTCGAGGAAAACATCTGATTCTGACTTTGACCTCCACATGTGCACACACATTTATATATGCTTGCATACATCATAAGACATACATACAAACAGAGAGGGAGAGAGAGAGAGAGAGAGAGAGAGAGAGAGAGAGAGAGAGAGAGAGAGAGAGAAGAGGAGAGGAGAGGAGAAACTAAAAAAAAACAGGGAGAGGGAGATTACTGAAGGGCTGAATTAATATTGTAAAAATAGAAAAATGGCTATGTTACCAAAAGCAAGCTACAAGTTCATGTCGCCCCGGCTGCTGGCCTCAAACTCACTGTATAGTTAAGGTTGGCTTGAACTCCTGATCCTCCTGCTTCCATTCTGAAGTGCTAGAATTAGAGGCATTTGCTACCCTGCCTATTTGTTCATTAAAAAAATCACTATAAGGAAGTCTATCTAATTCTTTTGGACAATTTTCAATATTAGATTTTTCCCTTTATTTTTAGCCAAAGTTTCCTCTTCATACTGATCTCTCAATTTACAAAGTATGAGTTAATCACTCTCCCCATGATAGTCATTCAACTACTTAGCAATAACTATTATAGCCCATTCTGTGTTATATCTAGAGGAGAAATCCAAATTATCTGTAACTAACCCTCAAGTGACATGGCTGCTAGATCTTCCTTTGCCTTGGTCATTTTCCAGTGGTTTCACTCTGCCTAGAAAGATCCTCATAAATGTCACCTCATAATGGCACCTCATTCTGAGTGAGTTTGTGATTAGTGCAGGCCCATGACTTCATAGCTATTCTTAGTGTAACTGGAGGTGCCATCTGGAGTTTACCTCTTTGCATATGAAAAGTCCACAGTTTGTTCACATGCACTATCATTAAGCCAAATCTCTTTAATTTGTTGATCTGTAGAATTGATTTTAAATTTGAATGTAGGATTTTATTTGTTTCTCGTCTAAGTTTAACCCATTTCCTGGTTCTGTTGTAATATATTTGAATTTCAAGCATATAAATGGGCCCATTAGTGAAGGTTATAATCATTATGATCTATAAATTTGATGAGGTACTACTGTGCATTCAGTCTTAACCATTCATACAAATATTGAGCAAGGCCATGAGCCCTGCACATGCCATCTGTTGTTGATGGATTATGTTTTAATTTGGCACCACAGAGGCAGATTTTCTTTTCCTTTTTCTTTATTACAATTTCATACATATAAATATCTTTTTTGAAAGGCTTTTATTTTTATTTTTACGTGTATGAATATTTTGTCTGCGTATATGTAAGTGTACCATGTGGGTGCAATGCCCATGGAGGCCAGAAGAAGGTGTAAAATACCTTGGACCTGGAGTTAAGGATGGATGTTAGCTACCATGTGGGTGCTGGGAAATTGAACCTGGGTCCTCTGGAAGAACAGCAAGTGGTCTTGACCACTGAGCCATCACTCCAGGCCCTAAATGATGTATCTTGACCATATTCCCCTTCAACTCCCCCTCTTGCCCCACCTAGGCACCCTTAACATGTCCCTCTCCCCCTTTTATGTCCTTTTCTCTCTCTTTGTAGCTCACTGAGTCCTGTTAGTGCTGCCTATTGACTTGATCTTGTACAGGTCTTGTGCAGGTAACCATAGCTGCAGTGAACTCATGGTGCAGTGGCCATGGCATATCCAGAAGACAGCATTTCATCATCATTCAGCTCTTACATTCTTTCTGATACAGATGTCTTATTTGGGGATGAACACTCAATAGTGACTTATTCTCAGCACTTTGACAAGTTATGAATTTCTGCATTAGCTGCTCACCACTGCAGAGAGAAGCTTCTCCGGCCAAGGTTGAGAGCAGAACTAACCTATGAGTAAAAATATAAATATTTAGAGGGCAGTTTGACAACATGCAATTTAGCAAGACAACAGTAGTAGGTTCCTACCTAGGCCCCATGACTTCCTGAGTCGTGAGCTTTTGACCAGGTTTACAGTACCAGAAATGAATTCCTGCCTGTGGAACAGGCCTCAAATCCAATTAGAAATAGTCGATTACCTCCCATAACATTTGTGCCACTGTTCACCAGTGGGAACATCTTGCCAGCAGGCCAATATTTAACTTGCAGGGTTTGCTGCTGGGTAGTACCATTGATGGCTTGTCTCCCCCAGTGACCTACAATAACACCTTCTGGCACTGTGAAATCTAGCTAGGAGGGAGGAAGATTTCAGGTCAGTTCCAGCTTGATTTCTTTGTGCACTGAAACCAAAGTGTATGGTGTGTTCAGCAGTAGGGTCTTAGATCTAGTTCTGTTGGCGATGAAGAGCAGTAGTAGTAGCCTGGGGAGGGGGGCTCTGGGACCTCCCTGACCAGTATTTTATAGGGAGGTATCCCATGCCAGAGGCAGATTTTCAATACTGTTCCTGCCCTTAACTAACTTTGTGACCTTGAATAGATTATTTAATATCCTCAAGCCTCAGTTTTCACTTTGAAAAAGTGATGTTGGTAATGATAGTATTTAGCTTGATTTGCCAGGATCCAGAGCTAAAGTGAGGAAGTTTACCATTAAGGCAAATGACGTATTTTTTTTCCATATTGAATAGTAGAAATATTCACAATTTAACGGTTACCGTATAGAAAAATAACCACATATTATTCATACTAAAAAACTTAAGACTCTAATTTTATGTTATTTTATGCTTTATTTCTTTATTCTTCACTTAATTATTTTCTTTGTGTTTCTAATGAGCAGGAAAAGTAATTGTTAGCTTAACGGTGGATGGCAAGTTTATATATTGGATCATTACAACAAAAGACAGCACACAGATCTATCAAGCAAAGAAAAGAAATGGGGCTATCGTCTCCCAGGTGAAGGCCCCCAGGAGTAGGCATATTTTGGCTTACAGCTCAGTTCTACAGCCTTTTCCAGGTAATAGAATCCCACACTCCATCATCTGCTTTCCTTCTCCAAGCCCAGCCCTCCAGTTTCTGCGTCAACCTCTTAGTTCTGCTACAAACTTCTTTAGCCCTGATTGCTGTTTACTTTGGGCCACAAATTACCTCCATATATGTACACAGCTTGAACTGCATTGGAAAACTTTAGATGTGGGGGTGTCCTGTCCTTCTCTCTACCTGTCCTCTATCAGACCCAAAATTTCTCTTCTGTTTTTTTCTCCTTTAATGGTATTTTAAGCCCCTCAGTGGTATCAAAAAGCACTGTATAAAACCTCAGGTCTCTTTCAAGAACAAGTGCTGTATTTGATGTGCTATCATGTATCATATATTACATAGTCTCATATATCAAAATGTTATGTGATAATTCAAAGTATAATTATGGTGTCATATAATGCCATTTAAAAATGCAAATTTTTGTTGGCACTTTAACATTTTATTTTATTTTCAATGTTAGGAATTAAACTCAGGATCTTCTACGTGGTTAGTAAGTGCTCTACCACTGAGTCACATCCCCAACTTTGCCCCACTCCATCTCTTTCTAGCTTGTCACTGATGAGGTTTTGTAGTGCCCTTCATTATACATTCTCCCTAAACTCTGTGAGTGCTATGGCATGATTTGTTATAATAGTTATAGTCATGACTATAACATGTTATAATAGAACTTACTGCATATGTTCTCTAGGAGTCATAATAAAACCTTGTTAAAATCTAGGGGCTGGAGAGATGGCTTAGTGGTTAAGAGCACTGTCTGCTCTTGCAGAAGACCTGGGTTCAGTTCCTAGCACACACATGGCAGCTAAAAACCATCCATAACTTCAGCTCCAGGGGATCTGATGCCCTTTCTGATCTCTGTGGGCATTGTGTAACAGGGTGCACCTACCTACATGCAAGCAATACACTCATACACATAAAATAAAAATACTAAATAAAATATTTTTTAAAAATTAAAAAAATAAAAAAAATCCAATCAAAACCAAAAATAATATGCATTGCCTCATTGGTGATATTGAAATTTGAAGAAATTTCTGAGCTTCTTATCAGTTTCCCTGCTATTGAAATTCAAATGTCATGTTCATGTATAACCCTTCCAGAAAGGGACAGAAATGAATAAAATTATCTTCTTTTGATGAAATGTATTCAGCTACAAAATATGTTAGTTTGAAATGTAAGAAGTTATAAATATACTGGTAATATTCTTGTAACAGAATTTATTTCCCATTTTGAGAAGCTTAAGAGATTTAAATGTCTATGTGACTTCTGAATTCTGGCTCAGCATATATGATGCTTGGAAATTGCCCTCTGTCCTAATAATAAGAAACTGAGAAGATAGAAAGCTCAACTCATCTCAGATCTATAAGAAAAGGGGAATCAGAGGGGCACTGCTGCTTCCCAAATTGGAACATTCTGTCTTAAGAGGTCTGATCTTAGGAGAAATGAATCAGAGCTCAACATTCTGGAGTTTTTAACCCTAATGTGTTTTATCTTGGGAAATGAAAATACCAGACCCAGCTCACTCCTGCCATCTTGTTGAATTTGTGACATTCACAGTGCTGAGGCGCAGACCCGCTAAAAGTCTGAAACCTGATCTGGGACTCTAGAATGCTTTCTCTCCTCCTTCACTTACCACCACATTCCTAAAGGCCTGTGTGCAGGAGCTTCTTTTACCTAGTGCACCAGAGCCGACTACGAATAAAGAATTACAAGGCATACTAAGAGGTGTAGACATATAGAGCAAGCATCAGAATAAGAGCTAGATTGCAGGGAGGTTGGAATGATCAGACTGAGAATTTAAAGTAGCTATGATTAATATGCTAAGAGCATCAATAAAGTCATCAATATACAAGACTAGATGGTCAGTGTAAACAAAAGATGGAAATTTTAAGAAAAAACCGAAAAGAATGTGTAAGATAAAGCACTGTAATAGACAGAAAGGATGCTTTGGAAGGGCGTGTTAATGGACAGGACGTGGCTGAGGAAACACCCGCTAGTCTGGGATCTCTCAATAGAAATTTCCAAGGTAGAAAACCAAAATGAAAGAAGATGAAGCAGACAAGCAGGGACACAGCAAAACAGAGCATCAGAACGACGGGATTGCAAAGACGTCTGCGTGTAAGTAAATGCCAGAGGGAGAAAAGAGAGAGAATGGAAGAAACGTGAAGCAGGGACTGAAACATAGCCCAAGGTAGTTTCAGATTACAAACTGTAGATACAGGAAGCTCCGAGAACATCAGGCAAGCTTGATCAGAAATTACACCAGGCCTATCAAATTCACATTGCAGAAAAGCAAATACGAATTTTGAAGGAAGTCCTCTTTTGAAAGAGATCATTTTGCCTATAGAGGATCAAAGAGAAGAATTATATTGGGTTCTCAGAAATCACACAAGTTAAACAAGAGGAATGAAACATTTAAAATATTGGGAATATTACAAAACTGGAATTCGGTACCTGAAATTGTCTTTCAAAATGGAAGAAGAAATACTGACTTCTCAGATAAACACAAGAGACTTTTCTTTCAGGACAGAGTAAAAAATTCTTTAGAAAGAAGGCAAATGACCTGGGTCAGAAATGCAGATCTGCGTAATGAAGGAGGAATAGCAGAGTCTTGGCAAAACAAGAATGATTATTGTCTTTATTCTGATCTGATTAAAAAGGTCTCTCTGATCTAAAAAGATAACAATAGTGTATCTCATGATGCATGCTTATGTGTATGCATGTATGTGTATGCATGCATATATATGTTAATATATTCTTCACTTGTCTTTCACTTGTATAGGAAATAAAAAGCACATTGGTGGCGGAGGGAGAAATAACATGCTCTTTATTCACAGATACCATGATCACCTACGTAGAAAATCCCAAAGAACTGACAAGCTCCTGAAACTAAGTGATTACAGCAAGTTTGTAGGACACTGCAAAATCTGTTCTTTTATTGAGCAATGAACAAGTGGAATTTTAAGTAAAAATGAAAGACTATTTATATTAGTATCTCCCCAAATAAAATGCTTATGTATAAATCTAAAGAAAATATGTCCAAGGCCTTTATGAGGAAAACTATAAAATTCTGATGAAAGTAATCAAAGAAAATGACATAAATGTAGAGATAGTCTACGTTTGAGAGTGGGAAGGCTCTGTGTTGTCAAAGAGATGCCTCTTTGTCTCAGTTCAATCCACACATTCAATGCAGTCTCACCAGAGTCCAGGAAGCCATCCTGTGGATACTGACAAATTCTAATGTTTACATGGAGTGCAGAAGACAAGCTGACGTCACACTGAAGAGGAAGAAGAAAGCTGAGGCCGACCTGAAGATGCTCTATGAGTTTAGATAATCAAGGCAGCACGGTGCTGATGAAAGAATAGATAAATGTAACAGAACAGAACAGAGAGCTCAGAAATAGACCCGCATCATTCCAGTCAAGGAAATCTTTAGCAAAGGGACAAATGCAATGCTATTTTTAGCAAATCATGTTGGAACAAACTTTGTAATTTTCACAAAAAGTAGCTCAAAATGGATTAAAGACCTAAAGATAATTTGGAGCAAGACAAATGAGCTATGAAACTATGAAAAGACACAGAAAAACTTATATAGGAAGATGCGAAAGGAGCCAGACTGAAAAAAGTTAGCTACTTTATGATTCTACCCGTATGACATTCTGCAAAAGTAAAATCCATAAGGTGGTGGTAAATACAACAGTTTTCAGGGATTGAGGGATAAGGGTTGAACATGACAATATTATTGTATATACATACCATCACACAGTCTTCCAAACCCACAAAATACACAGAACAGTGAGGCCCATTGTAAGCTCTGGTCTGTAGGTGATAATGAAATGTCAGTGTGGGCTCGTTGCAAAAGACGTGCCACTCTGATGGGGGTTTAGATAATGAGGATGTGCATGCATGAAGACACATGTTTGCAAAACCTCTCCAGCTTCCTATCAATTTTATTGTGAACCTAAAACTGCACCAAATACAATGTCTGCTTGATGCTGAATAACAGCTCCCATCAACACCCCTAAAAATAGAAGCCCCAAAGGCAGCATGAGTTCTTAACTACTGTAACACAGTACAATGTGATTAATACAATGCTATAATTTGCTTGAGAAAAAACACCAATTTTACTGTGCCATGGGTACATTCGTGGAGGGTGCTTTACCTCCATCTGCTGGAAATTCTAGGCAACTACCCGTTACCTAGCTCCTTTTTTTTTCACAAGGTATGTAGCATCTTCAAAATGTGTGGGGTTTGAAAAAGGAAGTAAGGAAGGAAAGAAGTCAGGGAAAAGAGGAGGGAAGAAAATAGGGAGGACAACTTTTCCTTTGTAGCAAATCACAACCCTAACACTTTAATATAGTCTACTGTATTAGTTGAATAAAAAGGAATACCTACTAATAATCTTTTACAAGAAATTCACTTATTTTTATTTTATATGCATGAGTGTTTCACTTGCATATATGTATGTGCACCACATGCATTCAGTGCCCACAGAGGCCAGAGAGGACATTGGATATCTTGGAACTGGAATTAAAAACAGTGTGAGTCACAATATGGGAGCTGGGAAGCAAACTTGGGTCCTCTGTAAGAATACCCGTGTTCTTACCCATTGAGCAATCTCTCCGCCCTATCAATAATCTTCAAGTCAAAGTTTGCTCTGGTTCCCAATATGAATATCCCATTTTCAGTTTAGACCAGAAGTCAGTGCTGGTGAATAGTAGCATTAATGAAAAAGTATCTTCCTCCAAATCTCCAGGCCTTTCCATTGTCCTCAAAATTAGACTCCTGGGTTCTGTGTGCACTCCCTGTTCCTGAGACTCTAAAGGGCAGCTCTAACTTTAAGCATTCTTTTCTGTACTTTGGAATTTATATTTGGACTTTCCACATCAGTGTAATTTTCTCTATTTTTTTAACAGCTTATGATTGATGATAATAATAGATAGCATTTATTTGAAATATGCCACCATGTCCAGCTAGCCCCAATATTCTTTAGCTTGTCTTCTAGTCAGTTCTCACAAGGTAGCTGCTATCCCTAGTGGCATGGTGCCTACATCCTGGGCAGGGAGAAGGTGGAAGGCAGGGATGTCATACAGCAAGACAGATGATGCTTTGGGGGCTGGAGAGATGGTTCAGCAGTTAAGAGCACTGGCTGCTCTTGCAGAGGACCTGGTTCGGTTTCTGGCACCTACATGGCAGCTGACAACCCTTTGTGGATTTGCATGCACGTAGTGTACTTACATATGTGCAGGCAAAATACACATACCTATAAAGTAAAAATAAATGAAATTTAGAAAAATGTTCTAGAAGATTCAAAAAGCAGGTACCTACTTCCCGTTATTTGCCCTACATTGTATTTGATAGGCTGGATTGTAGCCTGTATTGTCTCAGCTGCAACTGAGCCCCAGAAGATGAGTTTTCTCTGGGTGTGCTATCCTAAACAATATCAGACACATGTGGATCTAAAGAAGAGGAGGACATCGGTAGACAGGATAATTTGCCACACCCAGGGTCAAGAGGCAGCCGTTTTTGCTTCTTGAAGTGTATTCTGTATCAAAAGCTTTTCAGACTTATCCTTTCAAGTGAAAATTCTGTATATTCTACAAGTTTCTTTCTAACATCTGAAATTACCCTTATTAAATAAATCTGTTATTCTTCCTTTACATCTATTTAATCTTTTTTTCTTATTGTTTTAGATAAAGCATATCTGTATCTAGCTTCGGCTATTGTGGAACCAACCTTACTGAATGGGACAAACACCAGCCTCACACTCAGACTCCCTCCAGCCAAGACAAACCTCACACGGCACAACATTTTCAGTCCCACGCCAACGTACGTGGTTTATTACACAGAAGCTAATGGCAGCATACAGAGCTCTGACAGGAAATACAGAATGCTGGTAAGACTGGACCTCCTGCTTTTGGAATTTTGTAAGATGCCTTTTAAAATATATAAATCTTTCAACCACAGAATATTTCTCATATGTACTGCGATGCCTATTTTGAAACTTCTTCCAGACAGTGATTTACCAAAACATATTGGTTTCCAGCACTCTTGTAAGTTAAGCTTCAGTGAAGAATATTTATTTTCTCTGGCCATGGATTGCCATGGTAACAGTCTCTGAGTGTCCTGAGAGAAGTGAGTTTGTTAGCCTCCCTGATCATCTTTGAGAGTGATAAGAGACTTGGTTTTGTGACCTATCCATCAAATTGAAGAACAAAAATTGAAATGGGCAGCGAGAACATTGCCATAAGCAACTGTCTTTACATTGATTAAGATGGGTCTACGACAGTGATTCTCAACTCTGCGTCACCCTAGACAATTTGATCAGCATTGCTAAGGGTGGAACCCATGTGTAGTGTTTTGATAAACAAGTCAGTTATATTTAGACTAGGCATTACCATTAACAATGCAGAATTTAAAATACAATTTTCAATCTTTTGCATAAGCAAATTTGTTTAAAATATGAGAATTACATACTTATTTTTAAAAATTAATTACAGGAATCACAGGAGAATATAGCCCTTATTGAAAGTTTACAACCATTTTCAACATATATGATTCAGGTGGCTGTAAAGAATTATTACTCAGATCCTTCAGAACATTTACCTCTGGGAAAAGAGATTTGGGGAAAAACTAAAAGTGGAGGTGAGTTCTGGTCATGGCATGGGTTTCTAGTATGGGATTTTGTGACATATGCAATATGTATGTCTGTATGTTTTATCTAAATGACAAAATCAGGATAATTATTATGGGACCTTTTAAATGTTTTTTTTCCTTTTTAAAAATTATTTATTTATTAACCACATATTTAGAAGAAGCATTTCATTACAATAGCATTGACATATTCAATAACAATTTCCTGAACTAAGATGCATCTCTTTCAAAATTAGCTGTACATTTTTAGGTTTACAGTTGAATTATTACAGTTATACAATACTGTACTCAGTATAAACCCTATAAGACATAAAATTAAGTGAGGTTTTAACGTTTAAAAAGATCTCCATTTCATTATTAAAATATACTATGTCATACAGAAAAATTCATTTTTAATGCAATTGACATTAAGATGTTTGCACATGCATTTCTAATCTCTAAATATCTGATTATTACTAGTCACAGTTGGTTACTTTCTGAGAAATCAAGTTATTTTTTAAAAGAATTTCATACAATGTACTGTAAAATCATATTCAGCCCCCGCTTCTTCTACACCCCCTTAATTCTCCCAGTCCAACTTTATATTCTCATTTCTAAAGTTTTAAATTTAATAACCACATCATTAGAAGAAGCATTTCACTACAGCTTTAACATATTCAGTAACACATTCCAGAGCAAGAATATATCTATTTCTCAAGGGGTTGCAAGTTTCTAGGTTCACAGTTGATAGAGTTATACAATACTGAACTCAGTATAGGCCCTGTAAGAACATAAAATTGAATGAGTTTTTTAACCTTTAAAAAAGATCTCCATTTCATTTTAGAATATATTGTTCCTTACAGACAGACTCATTGTTTTTGCTACTAACACTGAGATGTTGGTGCATACATCTCTAATCTGTATGTATCTGATTATTACTAGTCATAATCAGTTGCACTTGGATCCTTGGCGCCTGTGTATGTTCTATAAAGTCATCAGGTAGATTTCAATGGTAATGTTTATCACCTCTACTAATTAACGTGGTGTAAATTTTTATGCTTCCTCCTCAAATATAATACATTTTTAAAAATTCGTTGATTTTTTTTGTGTGTGTGTGTATCACACAAAACATCCCAAGCCATCTTATTCGACTATATACCCACTTCCCAGATGGCACCCTCCCATAGCCTCCCTCCCCCCACTAGAGACCTTATACTCTGATATCCCTGCTAT